TTTCTGCTGGCAGAGCTGCTGGTTGGGGACCACGTGGCTTCGCGGCCACCGAGGGCAGCTCCGCCGGCAGAAGCCCTACGTGAAAATCCTCTGCGTCAGCACGGTCGGCCGAGGGCGTCAGCCCGTTTTCCCCAGGGGGGACGGAGGAACAACACGTCCAGTCGAGCCAAGAGCCCAGACACAGTGGGAAGAACTTGCTGGAAGACCCTGAGCTTGGCAGGGAGGCAACCAAGAGAGCCCAGGAGGCTGCGGTGCCCCGCCGTCCTCAGCCCAGCCTCGCAAAACCTCCCGTCCGTTCAGTCTCAAAACCCAAAAAGAGAAGGCAACGAGAGCATCTTTACCCATTTTCTTAGGCAGCAAGTACACGTCTTGCTTGTAGCGGCCTTCAGGAGCGTTGTAGAGCTCTATCAAAGCCAAAGCCTGGATGGAGAAGACACTTAGGTAAGCAACGGCTGCCCGCTACGGAGCGAGGTGCTGCTTTCGGCTCAGCCCAAACCCTACTCGCCTGCGTGGTGGCAGTGATGGACAAGACGAAGGTGGGGACGGTGGATAGCAGGCGGCCCTGGGAAGCGAAAACTGGTTGTTATCTCAACACGGCACCAAAACCAGCCTACAGCCCTACAGAGGGTACAAGAACCACGGGTGAAACGCGGCCCTGTGGGACAAAACACCATTTATCTCACGCATCGGAATCCCAAGACGTTGGTTGCCCTTCTAACGCCGTAAAACCAGCTCTGAAAATCACAGAACGGTTGGGGTCGGAAGGGAAGAGATCATCTAGTCCAACCCCGCTGCTAAAGCAAGGTCACCTACAGCAGGTACCTGACAAAACACCCTGGGGGAGATACCCTGGAGTGGGATCAAGAAAAACACAGGGGCTTTTCTGCGTTTCCAGCAACTCATGGGTCACACCAAGCCTTGCAACCAGAGGGACTACGGAGCTGCCGAGGCCCAAGGAGGTGACTTCTGGACGCGCTTTGGCCCCACGGCTCGTCCCAACCCTTGATTCCTTCCCCCGCGAGCAGAGGCGCAGGTTGCCATCCCTGCTCCTCTGCCTGCCGCTCACCTCCGCCAGAAGGACTATTCTCTTCCCATCTGGCCAGATGACGTGGTCCACCTGGGACCTCACCCTCTCCCAGGTCAGCTCGGGCGTACGCAGGCTTGCCTGAAACACGGTGTCAACACAGTTACAGCACCGGCAAAAGATCAACCCCCCAGCAGCTGCATAATGGGAACGAAAAGAGGAAGCAACTCGCTGACAATTATCGTTTCCTTTGGGCCCGGCCGCGGTCCCAGACCAACGAAACCTTTATGAATCATAACCTGGAACTCTTTTGAGGGTGACAATACATCAAAGCTCCAGCAACAACTATTGTTCAAGCTCTTCTGGCTGGAAGAGGACTCGTGGTCACCAACTGAACTGTGAAGGGCTGCGCTCACTTCTTTCCAGCACAGAAAACGGCTTTCAACCCAGGGGGTTGGCCGAGCAATTCTCCACCGACCTTCAGACAAGACTCTCCTGTTTTCTCACTCATCTCTAAGCACAGACGAGGAGATTTCAGTGCCTTTCGGTAAAGCGCGGTGGGTTGCACCAAGCCGAACTCTTGGCTGGGTCTTACTGGTCCAATAACCCGAAAGCAGAAGGACTGGGCTGGAGCAGGTGACCCCCTGACTCCCCAGGGGAAGGGATGGGGCTGGTGGACACCAGACGCTAGGCTGGAAGCTGGAGCAGTTCGCCCAGCCTCCCTTGGGATCGCAGGAGCGACAGCGACGCGGGTCGGCCGCGGCCGCCGAAGGGTCCCCGAAAGCGCCGTCGCCCCACCCCGTGGCGCCCCCCGCGCTCACCACGTCGATCTCGGTGTTGGAGTGCCCCATGTTGCAGACGATGCAGCTGTTCTTCATCCGATCCAGGTGTTCCCTGGTCACCACGTTCTTGTTGCCTGCAACGGGACAGCAACGCCCGTAATCAACAGCCACGTTTCCCTTTTCCCCACCTTTTTTTCGCCTTTTCCTTTGGGAAAAGGACGATGGGGTGAGCATCCCTGACGGCCCGTCCTCCCGCCTCAGGGAACCACGTACCCGTGCAGGTGATGACGATGTCAACTTGTCTGATGACTTCATTGAGTTTCACAAGGCGGAATCCATCCATGCTAAAAGGAGAGGAGGGGGAAAAGGAGGCTGAGAAGCAGCAAAAACGTGCCAAAAATAGAAAAAAAACATCAAGTGATTCTCAGAGACTCGTTTTAACTTTCCAGTGCCGGGCTGGGACACAGCGACGCAGCACAGGAAGGGCCACGTGCCCCAAGTCATCGGGAGGGTTTCTGGAGCCAGCCTGGAGGATTTGGGACTGTTGTGGGGAGAAGTGGAAAGAGATTTTTGGTGGGGGGGTGTTCATGTTTTCCGCCAAGGCCCCCTACAGCTGCAGGTCTGAGTTTTCGACGGGGATGGCTTTTTTAAAGCTGCTGCTCCTGCAAAGCGCAGCCAGAAGATGTAGCTACGCCCTCCTGCTGCAGAGTCTTTTCTGGTCTGGATTTAGGTCGCCTGAAAAACAACCCAGATCACCCCAAACCCACGGATGTCGACCACGGAACCTTGGGATCCACACTGAGGCTCCTACACGATCTTTGCAAGCGCTGAGCTCTCGGCAAGTCGGGGGTGGAGCCAGGTGGATGCAGCCCGTCGGGAGGAGCAAGGGCAGGATTTCTATTATTTATTTATTTTTTTTTAGGATTTGTTGCCAGTCCTCCTGAGAACTTATTTTGGTGACTCTCACAAGCCGCAAAATCGTAGTTACTATTAAAAAAAAATATATTTTTTTGCTGCTGTTTGTCCCATTTACTGGTTGGGTTTTTTTTTTTTTAATCCCTGCCGCAAACTCCTCATGAGAGGGGCCGCGCGGCGCTGCCCCCCGCAGAGCCAGGGAAGGGGCTGCTGCCAACGCCCGAATTCCCAATTCAGGATGCGGGTGCTGGACGTGCCACCCGTAGAAGGGTGCAGAGCAAACCAGAAGTCGATCAGCTCTGCTAATTAAGCAGGGCTCGTTAGTCTCCTCACCCCTCGGAAAGCTCGCTGTTAGGAAGAGGCTGGGGGTTTAACACAGCTCCGGGTGTTTTGGGGACTCTGCTTTCATGGTCACGTCCCATCTCGGGATGCAGGAGCAGCCTCTCTGCACCAAAACAACCTTTACCTGGAGGAAACGAGGTCGGGGCTGATGGCCACGGGCCCGGGCGAGGGGAGAGCCGCGTGCCTTCAGCCCTGCGTCAGGGGACCCGCGCGGGCGAGGGGAGGCTTGTGAGGGGCGGGGGATCGCAGAACCCAAAACGTCCCTGGGGTGAGGTGAGTGCCCGGCACGGTAAAGCCCGAGTTTGCTCTCCAAAGCTCGCAGTTCACTCCCAAC